CACAATGGTTCAAGTTCATTACACAATACTACTTACACAGTATTATACAATAATACTGTTCAGGCTTACATACAAATTTGACTTAATGGGAACGGAACTCGTTCCCTTGGGAAACTTGGGAATGGAACTCGTTCTTAAACTGGGGACTACCTGTATTATAAATTTAGCTATATGAACAGATATAAATAGTCCTTGTTTAGTGACAATGGTCATTAAGCAAAGTGGTGACTAAGTGAAACCGCGACTGTGCTTATGATCTTACTTCAGTTCTTCTTTGCTTTATAGACCTGCAAAGGTCATAAATGCGAGGATTGATCGCAAAGTTACTTTTTGATCACCATCATAACTGTGAACTGTTGCTAAATGAGGCAGTTGCTAAATGAGGACTACCTGTATATTGTTGCACTTTCCTTATTAAGATTTTAAAGAATAACATTATTTTGTTATTATAGTGTGAAGGAATTCTTTGGAAATTAAATCAAGTAATGATCTTGATCTGTCATTTAGGATTAACAGTCCACTTGGCAACCAACCTAAACCTCATCTTTGGGAAGTGGAAATGGCTAATTCTGGAGTGATTAGGAGCAGAGTATCTCCAGGACAAGTAATGAATGGCCATCACAGAATCTACATGTGTAAGATGGGTAATCATGCCTTTTTAGTGTGCTCCTAAGAAGCATGGTTTTTGGTCATGCACTCTTAGTATGATCAACCTGTAAAATCCTAATCAGATGTTTGGGGCATTGGGACTTAACCATGGGGTCCAGAGCAGTGTACCAGGCTCATGCAGCCCAAGTAACCTCCTTTGCAGATCCTCCTTTGCAGATTGAAGGGTAAGAAAATATCATTCAAATGGAGTGCTTTTCTCCTTCTACACTTCTACAATGTGACTGTAGTCTTGGCATCTCTCAAACTGGATGGGAATCTTCTTTTACAATGCAGCACGTTCTAAATTCTTTCTTCATTTTAAGTGCTAAGCACAAAGTGAGGGAATGATTTAGGGCACATTCTATTCAAATAACAGCTTTCACCCATTTGGCATAATTCTGTTAGAGGATTTCCTCCCTGGTTTGTTGCAGCTACACAATTTATTCTTTTACAATACATCATGCATTATAAATGTATCATGTCTTGTACATTCTACAAAAAATCCTGAATATTAAACACTGAAAGATCTTGGAATTAACATTTGTATCAATATTTCCTTATTTTCCCACAGCATATGCTTTCACCCTCATCTACACAGGCTGCCAAATGTGCAAATTATATTCACTGATTTATTTGGTGGGAAAATAAGGAAAATGTTCATATATAAATTAAACACTTCAATAAATGCGAATATGTGTAGCTCAGGGTTGAACTGTGG